AATAGAAATAGTTATGCGTGATGATCTCCTGGAGATCATGGAGTCAGGGCTAGAGAAGAGAAATTTAACTCTTCTCTTGCCATAGTTGTAATGAAAATTGAAACTACAATTTGCATTGATACCTATGGAAGCTTACTTCCCAACACAAAAATTAGTTGCAGGCACATTTTTGTTGATACAAAGTAAAGGCAGGAGTTAAATTGTCCTTTTATACCCTGTTCTGCTTAGTTCACCTCCTGCATTACGTGCTTTAAACATATATATTAATTTACAACCATATAATTTATGTCCTGTTTCATATGACCCCTTTACTTAGCAACATTCAGTAGAATTCTACTGTCTATAAAAACCCAGAATCACAAAGGGTATTCATTTAGTTCTCCAGAAACTATACTGTTCAGTTCAAAATGGATTGAAGGACTGAGGCCTGTGACTCTTTAGTGAAAAATTAATTTGGAATGGATTGATGCTAGTTTTTTTTCACCCAGTCAAGTCTCTTCCAGCATTTTTTTTAAAATTTATTTATTATTAAATTTGTATGCTGCCCATCTCCCCCAACAGGTGACTCTGGGTGGCTATTTATATAATTATATAAATATATATATATTTCCCTGTTTATGTGCATGAACTCATTTGGTTACATTCTTTTGCGAGTCAGGCCATTTGTGAAACGTTCTCAGCACTGAAACCAGACTGTGATGAGTCATTTTAACCAGAGCATCTTACATGACAATTAGGTGAATATGTGGAGTTCTGAACAGCTTATATTGTTTTGTATTTGTTGCTGACACAACAGAAATTTCAGCAAGTCACTACTGCTTCAGCTCCTTGCTCAGGAGGTTTAAAGATCTTGTTATTTTTACTTGTTACTTTTTCTACCAGGAGAGAGAGGGAAAAAAAATAATAAAACCTACCGTAATAGTGAAGTGAAATGGCCAGTGTTGTCAAACTGCCAGGAAATTGTTCCTGGAACAAAATACATTTACCCTTGGGCAGTTGTTATCCATTCATGTTAATAAGATGGGTAAGTAATACATTATTTATGATGCCAGCATTTTCCATTAGACCCAAGGAAAAGGATGAGAGAAGTACAGTTATATTCAGGCTTAGTGGTATGATGCAAAGATCCCTGTGTTATCACCCAGGTATTGGGCCAGGAACAGGATAGAAGCTTTGAAGGGACAATTAAGTTCCACTAATGAATGGAATAGTTTTGCAGTCCTATTTATCGTGTACTTATTTTCTTCAAACATGCCAGTCTGTGGAAGGGAAGAAGTTATTTCACAGGGCAGGTTGTCTCCTGTATTGCCAAGTGGAAACTCACAGTCTGTGGCATGGACAGCAGCATCAGTCCTGAATATTACAGGTGCCATAATCTTAACCTTTGTCCCAAATTGTTTAAAAACTGGGTATACTAATACTAATATCTTGAAGGTGGCTCTGTAGCATATTGGCAACTTACCGTATATACTCACAAATAAGCCGAGAAGTTTAGATGCCAAAATGCACCCAAAATACACCCCGACTTATCCATGTATATTTCATATACACTCACTGACTCTCAAATTTTTAACCAACCATGAAAAATAGATAATACATGGATTACCCATGGATATAAGCTAATTGTGAAAATTAAAACAATCAAACATTTTGAAGGTCGGCTTATCCATGTATGGGCTTATCCACAAGTATATATGGTAATCCAAAGCAAATGCACATCCTGTATTTGGGAGCAGAGTTTGGATCCCCAAAAGAATCAACCATCTATAAGGGCTCCAGGCATTCGAAATTTATTTATTATATATTTGTCCACTTTACAATATTTATAACCCAACCCAGTTCCGTTAGACTCTGGATTGGGTACAACAAAGTCAAAAATAAGAACTGTGTAAAAGTTTAAAATAGTATCATCAAAAGCTACCCTAGCCTAGCCTGAAAGCACATAGGAATAAAACTGCTTTGGCTCACTTGTGAAATGCTAGCAGGGTTGAGACCATCCATACCGCTGGAGGGAGAATGTTTCATAATGGGAGGGCCAGCCCTGTGAAGACCTGTCACCTGATCCATGCTCCTTGTACTTAGCCTGGAGGCGGGGCCTGCAACAGTCCCTCTGTTGAGTATGGGCAAATTCAATTCATTTTGAGTAATCTATTTTTGGAAATGAAGATAAAGTTCTGCAAGAGGTTTCCTGAAATTGAGGGAATTTGAAGAGATGCTAAACTATAGTTTGCCTTCAGTGCAGTGGTGTCCAAAGGGGAATTTAAAAAAGTCAAGATGGCAGCTGTAATTTCACAATCAAAGCCCTGCCTCTTTTTAATGTCTGTTGCATGCACAACACATGTAAAAAGGACAAGGGCTGCAATTATGTGATCATGACTTTTTGGACACCCTGCCCCCCAGTGTTCCTAGTACAGTGTCACACGATGATTCTGATAGCTTTATACGTAGATGTCTACAAATCCATTTAAAAATATGTATTCTATGACAGACCTTCCCATTCTGGAGAGCAAAGAAAGATGGAAAAGGGAACTTGACAAAATTGGTACCTTAGTATGCAGAAGTAAACAAAAAGCAAGAAAACCCACCAGTCTTAGGCACCATTATACTGGTGTTTTCTGATATGAGGTCAGGACATGTATGTGCTCAAATTCCTGGTTCAGAAAGCTGCCTCTTTATTTAAAACAGAGGGCATACCATTTCTGTCAGTTTGGGCAATAATGCCCAGATGGATGTTTGGGGATTCTTAAGCTGAAATGCCAATAACAATTTCAGAGGAAGCCATTGGGGAACATAAAAAGTAGCTTAAGGCCCTTATTAATTCTGTGGTCATAAAGGCAGATTCTGTTATTTCCTCAGACGTTATCTATTTATGTACAATGACATTGTCCGTGTCTTTCTCTCTCCCGATAGGTTTTACTAACTGAAAAGAAAAATAAATTAAATTCTCAGGATGTTCCAGTTACATTGATTTTGTTCCCTTTCACTAGGAAAATCTAGCAACTGGTCACAGGAGACAGGAGATACGGTTATGTGATAGGAATGTTTTAGAAATCTTGCATAACAATGCAATTAAATATAAGTTAATCTTCCATTTTCTGTTTGTTCTCTTTTTACTCTTGTGAGATACTTGATGCACCTAGCTGAAAACCTGCTGCCTTCTGGAGTAGTTTCCAAATGCTTTTGAAATGCAGCTCTATAGAGAATAAATGAAGGCATCTAGGAGCTGTTGCTGTTTAAGTGAAGCATTCTGTACCTGAATGATAACAGTTAATCTGTCTGTGCATAGGTGTGTCCTAAAAAAAGAAGAGTGCTCCTAAAAGAGTGCTTACGAATAGAGCTAGGTTATTTGTAAGCCCACGGGAGATCAGTAATCTACAGGCCATTGAATTCAATTGGTGAAGTCTAAATATAACACTTCTGAATCTAACTTTTTGATTTTATTATTTGGGTATGAATGTTCTTTTAAATCTGTCCTTGTAGGAGAAGCTCTGAGTTAGCCTAAATGTCATTAAATATGTATTTAGTTTCCTCTTCTTCCTCTTTTCCTATACCTATGCCATTTTTCTAACCCACCAGCATGATAAAGGTAGCTAACAGCATAATAAAAATATAGATAAATAAGCAATATAATTAAATATAAGAAACATGTAACTACTGTATGGGGGAAAATGTGGAAATGCCAGAAATTCAGAGAAAGTCTGATATTTCAATGTGAAATGTACAAATATATGTTGTATATTTTTAATTGTTATAATTTAAGGAATAATTATAACAATTATAATAAATATTGTTATAATTTAAGGAATAATTGCAACAAATTCATGTAATTTTGATTGTCCTTAAGAATACAGATATATGTGTGTGTAGGCATATATATGATAACATGCAATTATTATATGACCTTTTAAATTCTACCTGGAAAAATTATAAAATAATTTAACTAAAGATTTTACTTCCATAAATATAACTGATTTAGAATATATCTGCATTAAATTAGCAGATATCTTAAGCATTAATACTGGCTATTAGTTAACATTTCACCCAGCATATTGATTTAACCTTGTAATTGGAATTTTTCAGCCAATCGCCAGAGAAATTAAAAGACTAAGCTATGTCACTGAATTACACTGAGGGGCTTGCATGCCTAATTTGGGAAACTAGGACCTGTTTTGCTTTCCTATAGCAGCTTTAGCACTCTGTTCTGTTTGAACTCACTTATTTCGGATACTTTTAGCCTTCATTACAGCCCTTCATCCAGAAAACACAATACATATTACATATGTTCATTGGCTATATATAGAAACACACATCTAAAATCTCTATTAATATAAATAAAAACTAGACATAGAACACATTAAAATAGCATAATAATAATATGGTGGTGATCACCAAGACTAGTACTATTCTTCAATAATAAGTAAGACAAACCGAACAAAAAGAAGCACAAAATCAAGCAACCTGGGAGGTTATACCAGAGCCCTGGTCAGACAGAAGAAGCAACAAATAAGCTTCGTATTTTCTGCCAAAGTACTTCTTCAGAATGGGATGGATGAATGTCAGCCAAGAGTCCCTGGGAGTCCCCAGAGCCATCCCCTTATGGGCATATGTGCTGATGTAGAGGGATATTTTTTATAAGGCCCCAACAGCACTGTGGCAGGTAGTGCATGGTTCAGATATTCATAGTTTTGATTTGATATTCATGTATATCAACTTCAAAAGACTACTTTTGAGAAAGGCACAACAGAAAGCTTTCGCATAATTGTCATTCATTTGTATATTTTTTCTTTTGTTATTAGAAGATCCAATATTCCCCTTTTTGTACAGCTTTTTATTTTAGTGGTTCATACTTGTTAATAATATTACATTATTTAAAGTTTCCTAAGACTGGTAGACTGGGCTGGTACTTCATTCTGAGCCTCTTTGGCATTATTTTTAGCAATAACCCAATTTATATCTCTTCATTTCTGCCAGCCATGCATTTAAAGTGAATATAAGCTTACCAATAACAAAATGCAGAATGTAGCTGGGTTAGTCTTACTGGAAAAAAAGATAAAGATGAAGGCAGTTTTCCTCATATGTTCCATAAAGCAAATACAGAAGTTGGTGTCTTCTGCTGGATCAAAGTTCAGTCCAAAAGACTTCTAGATGATTTTATCCAATGTTTTTGGTTACCCAGGCATGGTTCCCAAATTGAATTAAAACCTATATACAGTAGAAAATAGATACTTGGTATTAGTTTTGATAGCAGTGATCGACTTGCATGGGAAGATATTCCTTCCTGTAAAAAAAGGTGGTCAGTTCAAGCTGACAAGTTAACTATCGTCAGCTCCCTGAGTGTTGGCACATTTCTGTCTCTAGATTGGAGCATTCCATTTTTTGATAGAGGAGATCCAGTGCCAGGACACAAATGATAAAAGCAAACATTGGCATATAAATGCCAGTGGCACAAAAGAAGATATCAGTTTGTAAGGCAAGGAGACATGTGAAGGGAAAAAAGTTAGGAATTGGCACAATGAATTTGTCAGCATAATATATTGTCCTGTGGGATGCTGGCACTGATGGCCCAACCCGCTGAGCAGAATGGTGAATATCTGACAGTCTATCTAGATAACAAATAAATCTCATAAACATATGTTCTTGGAATGGAGCTGTCAAGTCTTGAAGCTTGTCACTTTGGGGCAATTATTCTGTTTCCCCACTGATCTTTTAAGAATGTTTAATGAAGGACAAACTCTTAGCTCATTTACTGAAATGCATATTTATGGGAAGCTTCCAGTGGGGATTAATGGCAGGCTGACGTTCTCCAAAGCATGGGGAGACACCGCAGCTAAGAAAGGCTGGCTGGGAGGCGGATTCTGGCCAGCCTAATCTTCCTGGATCAAAGGAAGATCAAGAGATAAACCATGTGTGCTCTAGACAATAGTTCCTTCTGAATTAACTGCAGAAACTGAAAAGTTTTTGCAACCAACTCAGAGTTGAGCTATTGGGCAACCTAGAATTCCATCTATGCTCCTAAGTGCAGTGGAGTCAAATGGACATTACAGCTTTGCTTCTCCCCACTTCTTAATCACCTTGTGAAGTAATTAATTACAGATGAAGAGAGATTTCCTCTGCAGCAAAGATAAGACTCTTTGAGGTGAGTTAAACCTTCTTTCGAGATTATAAAAATAACACAAGAGAGATTCAAGAACTATTTGCAAAAAGCTTAATTAAGAGAAGATATAAGAAAGTTTTTAAAATGGACAAGGGGACAATTTTTTTCCTTCCTATTTTTTTATTTCTATTTTTATTATTTTTATTTTTGATGTAAGTGCTTTGCTATAATTTTTTCCTAATCCAGCTAAAGAGATTAGCCCTGCGTAGAAATATTACTAGCTAGCCTTAAAGCATCTATGTGATTGGTGGAATCTGCATGATACAAGTTAAGGTATAGACAGACTGTGATGTTTAGTTGCCATGGAAACATTAGCTTTGTTGTGGTGAAAGTTATTGAGTGCTACAAAATTGAAAGTGTTTGAAACAAGAAGATGATAAGGAAAAAATAAATGGCAGAGGATTTTTTAAAAATTTTGCTGGCTTGGGACTTTTTTGCTTTTGGATTAAAAATGAATACTAGAAAAATGGCAAAAGAGGGCAGAAGAGGCTCACCAGAACAAGGAAAAATAATTACACAGATAAGCTTCAGAATTTTTTGAGCAAATGGGAAATAAATTGGATGTCTTCAAAAAAAGAATGGATGAAAAATTTGTAAATTCAGAGAAAAGTTGAGAGAAGATGTTAAAAAGGTGGAAAATTCTATAAAACAAATATCTGGAGAGGTAAAACAAATTAATGATACAGTGGAAATTTTAGAGAGTAAGTCTGAAGTTCAAGGCAGGATGGAAAGAGAATTGAATAACCTGGCTTTACTGGAATTGAGGGAGAAATAATTCTGTGTGAGATTAAGAGCTGTTCCAGAGATTCCAGATGAAAATATTAGAGAGTGGCTTATTAATGTTTTGGCAATTTTTTTTGGATTTAGGAGAAAGATATGGAGATGGAAATGGATAAGATTTATAGAATAAATTCCAGATTTGCTAGGATGAGGAATGTCTGTAGAGATATCTTGGTGCACTTTGTTAGAAAGAAGACAAGGGATCAAGTCCTGCAGCAACATGTTAATACAAGACTGAAAATGGATAATACAGATATAATTGTTTTAAAAAAGATTCCTATTACAATTTTATGTAAGAGAAAAGAATATTCCTTCGTGGTTGAAAAATTAAAACAGAAAAAGATTCCATTTTAATGGGATACATTGGAAGGTGTGATTTTTACTTTTAAACAGCAAAGATTTAGACTGAATTCTGTCCAGAAGTCAAGAGATGTTTTAGAAAAATATAAAGGAGAATTGGAAGAGATGGAAATGGTGGTTTTAGAGGGATCTACACAACAACCACAATAGTTGCAACAGGAACAAAGATGATACTGAACTAGGTACTACAGGTGTGGACCTTTCTAAATTTTTGGCCTGAATATGGATTACAAATATTTAACATGGAATATAAATGGAGCAAATGCGCCTCAGAAGAGAAAAAAAAGTATTTCATCATTTGAAAAAAAATTAAAGCAAGATATTATTTTCCTACAAGAGACTCATATCAAGAAAAAAAAAAGATATAAAATATTTTGACCTATCAAACTTTGGGTGAAGAATTTATATCAGCAGATACTAAGAAGAGAAATGGAGTTGCTCTGTATATTAATCCTCAACTAAACCCAGAAGTTGTATTAACTGATGCACATGGTAGATTTGTTGGAGTAGAAGTTACATTATGTGGGGTTGAAGCTGTGGTCTTGGGAGTTTATGCCCCAAATGAAGATAAAGTTACTTTTTATAAACAACTTACAGAGATATTAATGGACTTTTCCTATGACAGTTGGTGTTTGATGGAGGTTTGGAATGGAGTGGTTTCTCCCCAGCTGGACAGGACTTCTGGGGAAAATATTAACATCACTCAATGTAAATTACCAAAAGTGTTCTTTGATTCGATGGACAGTTTAGAATTATTTGATGTATGGAGACAGAAGAATGGTAAATAAAATTTACCGAGGATTACAGAGACAGATTATGAATGGACCTATAATGATAAGGGAAGTTTCAGAAACAAGTAAAAAGAGTAAACCAGGAAAGGTACCTGGGCTAGATGGACAATCACATTTGTATTATACATGCTTTGAGGATTAACTTTTACAACCCTTACAAAATATGATGAATTCTATTTTACAGGGTGGGAAAATGCCAGAGACTTGGAGAGAAGCCAATAAAATGTTAATACCTAAAGCAGGACAAGATTTGACTTTAGCAAGGAATTGCAGACCAATGTTCTGCAAAGAATTTGGAGCCTTAGCAGGTTTCAAGATTAATAAACAGAAGACAAAGAAGTTAACAAAAACCTTGAATATATAAGATCAAACAATGTATGAATAATACAGGTTTTAAGATTGAGAAGAAGGTAAAATGCTATGACAAATATGAATTGTATGTTAAGATATGAAACGAAGTTTAAAAAGATATGTCAAGATGGGACAAATTACAATTGTCACTGTTGGGTAGAATTTCTGTGATTAAGATGAATATTTTACTTAGAATGTTATTTTTGTTTCAGACAATACCTGTTTTGACAACTGATGTACCATTTAAACAATGATAGAAGGATATATCTAAATTTGTATGGCAAAAGAAAAATCCATGAGTTAAATATAAGATACTAGATATGTCAAGATGGGACAAATTACAATTGTCACTGTTGGGTAGAATTTCTGTGATTAAGATGAATATTTTACTTAGAATGTTATTTTTGTTTCAGACAATACCTGTTTTGACAACTGATGTACCATTTAAACAATGATAGAAGGATATATCTAAATTTGTATGGCAAAAGAAAAATCCATGAGTTAAATATAAGATACTACAGGATACGAAGGAAAGAGGAGGATTGGGCTTACTAGATTTGAAATTATATTTTGCTGTCTATTGTTTAGTTTGGATGAAAGAGTGGGTGTTGTTAAGAAATAGAAGGTTATTGGATTTAGAAGGTCACAATCTGAGATTTGGATGGCATGGATATCTATGGCATGATAAAGCTAAAATGAATGTAGATTTTAAAAGTCATTATATCAGATGGGCTATTCTTAGAGTATGGAATAAATATAAATTTAGGTGGCTTTTTTGTGGCTTTTAGCACAAAAAGCATTTTATAGACGAGAAGTGATAAGTAAATGGTTAACCTACCGTGATGTACTAGAATTTTCTCAAGGGGACTGTCAAATGAAATCAAGAGAAGATCTGACAACAGAAGGATATTATTGTCAATGGTTTTCTTATGTACAATTATCAGAAAGGTTTAAAGTGGATAAAAGATTTTGGTTTTGAACAAAGTAAGACTGAGTTTGAAATAGAATTGTGTACTAATGATGACCATGTTATTGCTAAAAATGTATAAACTTTTGCTGAAATATGAGACAGAAGAAGAAGTGAAAGAATGTATGATAAAAAGAGCTAAAAATTTCAGCTATAATGTACAAATGGGTCAATCAAAAATATATGGTTGAAAAGATTGAAATTTACATTATGTTCTAGTCTTAAAGAGAATTTTTATAAAATGATGTATCATTGGTATTTGTCACCAGAGAAATGGTCTAGAATGTATAAAGGTACTTTGAATCTTTGCTGGAAATGTGAACAATATGAAGGGACATTTTACCATGTTTGATGGGCATGTTAAAAAGCCAAAAAAATTTAGATACAAATACATACATTAATTCAGAAGATTTTAAAAGTTACAGTACAACTGAAATCACAGACCTTTCTTTTGGGACTAACGGGCAGGCAATTAGAAAAAAATTACAGAAATTTGCTTTTATGTATGACACTGCAGCATGACTATTATGTGCTCAAATGTGGAAAGGTTCGACAGTACCTACAATGGAGGAATGGCTGGTGAAGATGATGAAACTTGCAAAGATGGCTAAATTAACTTCTTTGATTAGACAAAAAAATAGTTTATGGCTGGCTGGAACCCCTTTATTGACTTTTTGCATGAAGCAGAAAAAAATGCACTTACTATTTGTGGCTTTGATGATTAGAAAAAGACTGGATAATAGAAAAAAGTGAGCTTTTTTGTAATCATAGTTAATTGTGTGTTGTTTTTATATTTGCTGCAAAAGAAATCATAAGCTTCTTTTTCTTTTTGTTTTCTGTGTACTTTTTCTTTTTTAAAATTTCTTTGCTTCTTTTACTCTATCAGTTTGTGTTAATTTTTATGTTCTGTGTAAAACTTTTAATACCATTTAGTTGAAAAAAATGAAATGCATATTTATGGCTGTTCTAGTTCATCTTTTCTTCACTTACAGCACCATGAGTAGGTATTTCCACTCAGTTCTGTACATTTGTTGAAGCAAAATAGAGAAATCCTATCTGAAATTAGCAATTGTCCTACAATTATGAATAAAATATATTTTCAAAAACACTTTTATGCAATTTTTTTTATAGTCACAAGAAAAAGCAAAAGATCAGAAATTACACTTTATGAACTGGTTACAGCTTTAGTTTTATGTAGCCAGTACGTAGAAAGATGACTGCAGGTGTAAATCACATCTTCCCGTAAGTAAAAACAACTTCTGTGAATTTAGGTCCAAGAAATACATAGAATAGGACAGTCTTAAGCAATGAAGTATAAATTTCAATGCAGGATTAACTTACTTCCAGAAATTCAGAAGTAGACTTTTTTTGTTTCCCTATTTTCAAAAACTCTGGGAATGAGTACATTCTTTAGGATAAACAATTAGTAAGGTATCAAAATCTGGTATGAGAAATGGATCTAAAACCACAATGCAACTGTACACAAAATTTCTTCTTTCTCCTTCCAGAAAATAGTCAATAATCTATAAAAGTCCATTTTCCCACAATTTTTTTAAAGTCATATTTGAATTCCTCAACTTGATATATACAGTACTGTGCAAAAGTTCTAGGCAGGTGTGAAAAAATGCTGTAAAGTAAGAATGCTTT